ATATAGATAGATATAAAGATAGAATAGATGTATATATAGATATCTATATCTACTATCTATCTATGTATACCACATCTTATTTCATCTATTCATCAGTTGATGGACATTTGGGTTCTTTCCATAATTTGTCTGTGGTTGATAATGCTGTTATAAAGAGCAGGGTGCATGTATCCCTTCAAATTAGTATTTTTGTATTCTTTGGGTAAATACCTAGTAGTGCAATTGCTAGATCATAAGGTGGTTCTATTTTTAACTTTTTGAGGAACTTCCATACTGTTTTCCAGGGTGGCTGCACCAGCTTGCATTCCCGCCAACAGTGTTGTTGCATTCCCACCAACAGAGGGTTCCCTTTTTCCTGAATCCTTGACAACACCTGTTATTTCTTATGTTGTTGATTTTAGCCATTCTGACAGGTGTGAGGTGATATGTCATTGTAGTGTTGATTTGTATTTCCATGATGATGAGTGGTGTTGAGCATCTTTTCATGTGGATATTGGCCATCTCTATGTCTTCTATGGAAAAATGTCAATTATGTCTTCTGCCCATTTTTAAGCTAGATTATTTGTTTTGGGGTGTTGGGTCGTATACTTTTTAAAAAGATTTATTTGACAGAGCGAGAGAGGGAACACAAGCAGGGGGAGTGGGAGAGGGAGAAGCAGGCTTCCCGCTGAGCAGGGAGCCCCATGCAGGCCTCGATCCCAGGATCCCAGGATCATGACCTGAGCTGAAGGCAGATGCTTAATGACTGAGCCACCAAGGCATGCCTGTGTACTTTTTAAAAAATATATATTTTGGATACTAAGTCATTTATTCATGAGAGAGAGAGAAAGCCAGTGGGAGCATGAGGGGGTAAGGGTCAGAGGGAGAGGGAAAAGCAAACTCTCTCCTGGGCAGGGAGCCCAAGAAATGACAGATGCAGATGCAGGGCTCAATTCCAGGACCCTGGGACCATGACCTGAGCTGAAGGCAGACTCTTAACCAAATGAGCCACCCAGCCACTCGTTGGATACTAAGTCTTTATCAGATATGTCATTTGCAAATAACTTCTCCCATCCCATAAGGTTGCCTTTTAGTTTCATTGATTGTTTCCAACACTGGTTGTTCTATAGGATGTCACCCTGGGACTTTTTCCTTTAATACTTTCTTGTGTTGATTGATAAGAATCCAATCTATTCTTTTTGTTAGTTTACTCCCTTATTTAACTGACATCCATCTCTCAATAGTTTCATAAAGATGATTCAGAGGAGGTGAAAATTTTTGAAACCTTGCTTAGTACAGGACTCTTGTTTTTCTTTTCATGTGATTGATAGTTTGGCTATAAAATTCAAGCTCAAAAATAATTTTCCATCAGATTTTTTTTATTAATCATTTTTTAAATGTATTTTCATCATAACAGTATTCATTGTTTTTGTACCACACCCAGTGCTCCATGCAATCCGTGCCCTCTCTAATACCCACCACCTGGTTCCCCCAACCTCCCACCCCCCCACCTCTTCAAACCCTTCAGATTGTTTTTCAGAGTCCATAGTCTCTCATTGTTCACCTCCCCTTCCAATTTCCCCCAACTCCCTTCTCTTAACTCCCCATGTCCTCCATGCTATTTGTTATGCTCCACAAATAAGTGAAACCATATGATAATTGACTCTCTCTGCTTGCATATAGAGTTGCTGTTCAGAAGACTGATTCCCTTCTTATTCTTTCTTTAAAAAGATTATTTATTTTGAGAGAGACAGACAGAGCAGGGTGGGAAGGAGCAGAGGGAGAGAATCTTCAAACAACTTCCTACTGAGCACAGCGCCTGAAGCTGGGCTCAGTTTCACAACTTCTGAGATCATGACCTGAGCTAAAACTGAGTCAGAAGCTTAACTGACTGAGCCACACAGGTCCCCTTCCCTTCTGATTCTTAGCTCTTTTAATGTCACCCCCATTTTTTCATTCTGGAAGCATGAAAATATCTGAGTATCAGTTATTTATCTATTCATCTATCTAGTCTTAAGGGTGTACCCTATTAACATTTAAACTCTCACTTTCAGTTCTGAGAAATATTTTTGTTATATTTTTATCATAATTTCTCCCTTGAATTTTCTACATTCTCACTTTTTCATTATTTCAATATTGGATTTCTTGGATTGATATGCTAAAACACTAATTTTTTTCCTTTCTTATTTTCTGTCTCTTGCTCTACTTTTTGGACAATTCATTTTATCATCCAGCCTTTGTATTTAAATTGTTCTTTTTGACAGACAATATTTATTTTTAAGAGTCCTTTTTGGTTCTCTGAGTGTTTTCCATATTATTCTGTTATAGATGTGTCAATGTGTTATCTTCCCTCATCTATAATTAGTTTATTTTTAAAAAATACATTATACAAAAGAGTATTATTCAGTAAAAAAACTACTGTTATACCATTATTAAAATGAGAGTGAGTTACATGGAAGTTAAGAAGAACTTATCCAAGGTTGGGGGACCTGGGTGGCTCAGTGGGTTAAAGCCTCTGCCTTCGGCTTAGGTCATGATCCCAGGGTCCTGGGAGCCCCATAGAGCCCCACATCAGGCTCTCTGCTCAGCAGGGAGCCTGCTTCCCCCCACCCTCTCTCTGCCTACTTGTGATCTCTGTCTGTCAAATAAAAATAAAATCTTCTAAAAAAAGAACTTATCCAAGGTTATATAGCTAGTAAGGGGCACTTAAGCCCTAATTCTCAATCTTACAATAAGAATACATACTGCATGCAGTTACTGTTAAGTGAGTAGACACATATGTGTCACTTAGTACAATGAGTATCACATAATAATTCTCAGTAAGTATTAGCGCTGCTTAGATTTTACTATTCTGGGGATATTAATCAGACATTTTTATTTTTTTAAATCAGAGATTTTTAAAGACTTTCTTCTGTTTATTATATCTGTTTCTTCCTGTTCCTTTTTGTTTTGTCTTTTTGGTGATGGTGGTTTGACATTTCCAGTCATGTTATTGGCATTTCCTCAAATGTCCTGTTGTCCTGGGCAATCTTCTCTTATTGAAAAATGGTGAGACACCTTCCCGTCAGCTCTTTATGAAGACATGAGTGAGATGTATTGATGGTAGAAATTCATTCTAATGTAACCATGCTAGGGTAGGGCTATTAACTTGGGAGGCCCCCTCCAAATATCAGTAAGTCTTTATCTGAGCTTTTCATATTCTCCAGGTTGAAATTCTACGGTATCTTCTGTGGGAAGGAAAGTTAGAGAGAAAGTCAGGTGTAAACCTTGTGTCCTACAACCAAAGAGTATCACATGGTAAGGGTAACCTGGAAATCTCATCATTCAGAATGCAAAATTTTGCCTAACTTCCCTCTTTTAAGTTTTGCACCTCAACTTGCATTCAGCTCTGCCTAAGGCCTCCAAAACTAGAGATAGTCCCATTTAATTTCTCCAAGGAACTAACTTCCTATTCTCTTCCTCTGAGATACTTTCCTGTCTGTGTAGGATGGTGAGAGGATCAGGGTATTCAACTCTCCCATTTACATACTGTCACCTGATAATTTCTTTTTCAGTTCTTAACTGACACTTGGCTCTTCCAAATCTTTCTTTTTAGATTTTTATTTATTTATTTGACAGAGAGAGATCACAAGTAGGCAGAGAGGCAGGCGGGGAGAGAGAGAGAGAGAGAGAGAGAGAGAGAGAGGAGGAAGCAGGCTCCCTGCCCAGCAGAGAGCCCAATGTGGGACTCGATCCCAGGACCCTGAGATTATGACCCGAGCGAGCTGAAAGCAGAGGCTTAACCCACTGAGCCACCCAGGCGCCCTCTTCCAAATCTTTTTTTGAAAAAGATTTTATTTATTTATTTGACAGAGAGAGACATAGCAAGAGAGGGAACACAAGCAGGGGGAGTGGGAGAGGGAGAAGCAGGCTTCCTGCTGAACAGGTAGCCCCATGCGGGCTCCATCCCAGGACCCTGGGATCATGACCTGAACCAAAGGTGGAAGCCCAATGACTGAGCCACCCAGGCACCCTGGCTTTCCAAATCTTGTACCTAAATGAGATATTATAGAACAAACCCATTAGTCTTGTGTGAATATCTCCAGTGCAGGAACTTCATATGTTTTTTGGAACTGCTAATTCAATTGCTCTTTTTTCTATTTTCTGTCATCAAAATTATGGGTGTTCACTTGTGCATCCTTAGTATTTATTTGCACTTTATGATTGTAGTCAATCCACCTATTTTTCAATTTCTATCCTTTTGTAGTGATCAATTTCTCACTAATGTGTCCTACATTTTTTTTAAAATGTAATTTGAACTTATCATTTTTTAAAAGATTTTTCATTTATTTGACAGTGAGACAATGAGAGAGGGAACACAAACAGGGGGAGTAGGGGAGGGAGAAGCAGGCTTCATGCTGAGCCGGGAGTCTGATGTGGGACTCTATCCCAGGACCCTGGGACCATGACCTGAGCTGAAGGGAGAGGCTTTAACCCACTGAGCCACCCAGGTGCCCCTGAACTTACCGTTTTTAAGTGAAAAATGTTGAGATACCTCCTCAATCCGTTCTTGAGAGCATTACTGAGACTTCATATCATTGGTGAGCTTCTAGCATCTATTTCAAACAATTTCCCTCAACCTTGCACTTTGGCTAGGACTCAAACCACCCAAAACTTTAAAAGTCCCAGCAGTTTTAAAACAAAGCAAAGGCCAAAGATGGGTCTTCAGATTCTGACACTAAAATCTCCCCCTACAATTATATACCTCTATACCTTTTGAAGTAATGATTGCTTCAAAAGCAAGTATATGATCTTAATTGATTAGTCAGTAAAACTAAATTTTTGCTCTATGATTGGGAAAGAGAATGTCTCTCTTTGGGGGCTGAAAGAGAAAACAGATGACCATAGTTGTAGCTGAGTAAATCTCATGAACCTGAGGGAAGGTAGTTTTAGGAGTTAGCCTGATTTAAATGAAAGTAAACATATTTGTGTTTGTGTACTTATTAAATACTTTGGGTATCCCAGGTTTCAGCACCAAAATAAATAAATACTTTGGTAAATTATGAGAAACTAGAACTAAATTGTGACTTTATCTAATGTGTTCCACCCCAGTATTTTACTTTGTTTTCTCCTAGTTCACACTTCACTGCTGTGAAGGAAACCTGCAGACATAACTTCTTGCCCTGTAACAACTATCTATTTGTGTTTTATCTCACGGTTTAGCCAATTCATATCCTCTGAGAGGACTCCCAAAGTGACTCATGTATACTTTGCTTTCCAGTACAACCGAAAGAAGGCCAAGTAGTGATGCAATCTTGTTTCAGGTTTTCAATCTTCTCAAAAGATTACAAACTCCTGGGGGCCAGGAATCACATCTTGTACTCAAAACAATACTAACAGCACCAGGAACTTTAAAGAGTATAAAACAGTTCTTATGGAAGATAGAATATATTTGTGATCACTTAAACACAATGAGTAAAACAACATTTGTTTCTCAAGGACATTGATATTAATGGAATTAGATAGCTTTCGTGAAACTGAAAATCTCTATAGAGACGCGTGGTGGCGCTGCAGGATAACATCGGCGGTGTAAAAACACTGAACTGGATGATGTTCTGGACTCGGTTACCCACCCCGTGTGCTCAGAGCGATGGGAAGACAGAAAGAACACGCCTTCAAGGTGCGAACTACAAGCTACTCAACAGGGTTAAAATCCTTAGGCCTCCTAAGATTCGGTGGACATTAGCAGAGACACGTTTCCCAAAACTGCGAAGAGAAGCTGAAGCGATTCTGCAGGAAGCTTTCCTTAAAGGAGCTATGGAGAACGGAAGGGCAGACACTCTGCAGATAAGGCAAGTCCTGCTTCTTTGTGTTTTGCTAGGAATGTCTCAGGCGGGTTCCGAATCTGGCTGCTTTTCGGTGGTAGAGGAAATGCAGAGCGGGAGCTTTGTAGGCAATTTGGCAAAGGACCTGGGACTAGAAGTGGGTGAGCTGTTCTCAAGGGGGGCTCAGGTGGTCTCTAATGATAACAAAAGGCGTTTGCAGCTGGACATAAACACCGGAGATTTGCTCTTAAGCGAGTCACTAGACCGGGAGGAGCTCTGTGGCTCCACGGAGCCCTGTGTGTTGCATTTCCAGGTATTCATGAAAAACCCTTTGCAGTTTTTACGAATTGAGCTCCAGGTCAGGGATATAAATGACCACTCTCCCGCCTTCTTAGAAAAAGAAATGCTCCTAGAAATCCCAGAGAATAGTCCTGTTGGTGCTGTGTTCTTACTAGAAAGCGCGAAGGATTTAGATGTAGGAATCAACGCTCTAAAGAACTACACAATAAGCCCCAACTCTTATTTCCACATTAAAATGAGAGTCAATCCAGACAATAGGAAATATCCAGAGTTGGTTCTGGACAAGGCACTGGATTATGAAGAGCAATCCGAGCTCAGTTTCATCCTCACTGCTATGGATGGCGGGTCTCCGCCCAGGTCCGGGACTGCCACGGTTCGGGTCGTGGTTGTGGACATTAATGACAACTCCCCTGAGTTTGAGCAGCCATTTTATGAGGTGAAGATTCCAGAGAATAGCCTATTAGGCTCACTCATTGTCACCGTCTCAGCTTCGGATTTAGACTCCGGAAAAAATGGAGAAATATTATATTCTTTTTCCCATGCCTCAGAAGATATTCGCAAGACATTTGAAATTAATCAAAAGTCCGGAGAAGTCATTTTAACCGCATCCATGGACTTTGAAACAGCTGAATCATACTCAATAATCATTCAAGCCACAGATAGGGGCGGCCTCTTTGGAAAATCAACAGTCAGAATTCAGGTGATGGATGTGAATGACAATGCTCCTGAAATCTCTGTGTCATCAATTACCAGTCCAGTCCCAGAAAATTTGCTGGAGGCTGTGGTTATGGTTTTTAGCATCCGAGACAGAGACTCTGGGGACAATGGGAAGATGATTTGTTCTATCCCAGAAGACCTCCCTTTCATACTAAAATCTTCCGTTGAGAATTACTACACACTGGAAACAGAGGGGATGTTGGACAGAGAGACCCAGGCCGAGTACAACATCGCCATCACCGTCACCGACCTGGGGACCCCCAGGCTGAAAACCCAGCAC